GCTCAGGTCACCATCTCACGGTTCGTGAGTTCGAGCCCCGCGTCGGGCTCTGTGCCGACAGCTCAGAGCCTGGAGCCTGTTTCCGATTCTGTGTCTCCCTCTCTCTCTGCCCCTCCCCAACTCCTGCTCCGTCCCTCTCTCTCAAAATTAAATAAACATGAAAAAAAAATTAAAAATAAATAATAAAAGCTACTTCCGAGGGTGAGCTGGAGGATGAATTTAAGTTTTTAATGGTAAATGCCTCACACAGCTCCTGGCCCTGACTTAGTGCTTGGGAGATGGTTGTTGAATGAATGAATGAAATAGGCATTGGAATAAAAACCTTTATTGAGGACTTACTGCATGTATAAACTCCCACGTATTATTGGAGCTTATTTAAACCTTGCAGTGACACCATGAGAGATACTCTTCTTGTCCCCTTTAACAGAGGAGGAAACTGAGGCACAGAGAGATGGACAGGATCTTGCCTAAGGGCTCAGAGATGGTCAGTGGCCCGCAGGTGAAATTTCTGGCCTTCCTGCGAGGCTCTTCCCTGCCTCACCCCTCTTCACCCCCATTCCAGTTGTCTGTTGCTGCAAAACAAAGCTTCCAAACCTCAGGCACAGAAAGCAGCAACCATTTTATTATGCTTGTGAGTCCTGAGGATCAGGAGTTCAGAGAGGGCAGATTCTCTCCGCTGGGGCCTTAGCTAGGCAGACTGTGCAGCTAAGGGCTGCAGGAGTCACTTCCGAGCTGGCTTCTTCAGTCCCGGGTCTGGCTGGCTGATCTATTCGGCCTTGTGGGTGGTGAGTGTCCAGTTGAATGGAAGACTATGGGGGAAGGCTGGCAGTTGGAGGGCAAGGTGGAAAAGCAAGAGACCCCAGGGCTGAGTGCTTGGATCCCAGGGTCGGGGGCCTAGGAAGCTTGCACATTCTGGGGTCGGTACCTCCACGAGCAGCTTCTGCTCCAGGCATTTGCACAGCCTGTTTCCCGGAGCTGGGCCCCCTCCAGACCTGTGTCCGGCTTCCGTTCCCAGCCTGTCCATCTGGCCCTGGAGGAGGTGCTCCCTGAGCCCCTTGGGCTGTGTAGACGTATTTGCTGTCCCTCCTCCCAGATCCTGTCGCCTGGGGGGGGGGG